CTGCTGCCCCCGCCGTTCATACACAACAAAGTGCACAGATGTGGAATGAGCGTTCCCACGGGTTTTGACACACGCACATTCCTGTGTGACCGTCGCCCCTGTCCGGGTGTGTGAGCAGTTCTGTGCAGGCCCCTCGGTGCCCCACAGCGCCCGCCTGTGTGGGAGAAGGCCCCGGCGGAATGAGGGCCGGGGCGGAGCCCGGGGCCGCATTCTTTCCCCTGGTGGAGCCGGGCTGGCGCTGATACCTCGCATTCCTGGGCTGGAACTTCCCTGGGAGCAGGGGCCTGTCCTGGGGGTCCCGGCCCCCCCGAGGCCTGGCGCAGGGCCCGTCCAGGTAACAGCAGGTCCCGGCCATCCGTCTGCCGACGGTGCCCCAGGCCCCCGCGTGGCGCTCTGTCAGCGTCCTCGTGGCCGCCGTCTCTGCGTGTTTGCGCGGGAACCCGTGCTCTGTGCGCAGGTGCAGCTCGCGCTCGGGGTTGATTCACGCAGCGGGGATGACCACTCCACGCCGTTCCCCCTAGCTTAGCAAACATCTCCCGAGCGTCTGCACGGGCCAGACGCTCTGCTCAGCTCCGGGGCCCAGAAATGGAGCCCTGCAGTCCCGAGGCTGCAGGGGCTCCCGACCTCACGTGGGCCCGGCCGGTGGGACAGCCACAGCACCGTGTGGCCCGAGCTGGGCGGGGGGGAGCCCTGTGGCTGCTCATCAGGCCTGGGTGTCGGTGGAAGCTTCCCGGCAATAATGACAGCAGCAGTGATAGTGGCAGCGGTCACTTGCGGAGCGCTCAGTAAGTGCTGGCAAGGTGGCAAGGACTGACCTCTTAGCTCCTCTCGCCCCGGCGCCGTCTCCCCCGTGGTGCCTATGAGGACACTGAGGGCCGGAGAAAGTAGGTCCCGTGCCCAAGCCCTCCCTGCTGTTAAGTTAGTGTGAGCCACTTGGGGTCTTGTGGGCTGTGCGTTGCTGCGGCACAAACCAGCTCACCCTGACTGTGGAGGGCGTCCGTGCGGGGCCAGGGGGCGCAGTGGGTTGGGTGCAGTCAGGCTGCTGGGGTCTGGGCTGGAGAAGGGAGGCCTGGGCGGAGAGGCCAGAAGGAAGAGGGTGGATGGGGGGACAGTTCTATCGGGGTCTGGGGTGGGGGGGCGGAAGGGCGAGAGCCAGAGCACCTGCGTCCTCTTCCGGGCTTCGTGCGTCTCCGTAGGATTTTTTTGTGTGGGGGGGAGGGTTATTGTGTTTGATTATTGTTACCCTTTTGGAAAAGAAGTTAGCACTTTATTGCTGCTTTACAATTTCGAGGACTACCTTGCTGCTTTACCGTTATTTATGTGGCTGTCGTGAGCACAGACCACCACACCATGTAAAGCTCGCCGCGGCTGCAGGCTCGACGCCCGTTGGCTCACCCTCCCCCCACCCGGCGCCGCGCCGCGCCACACCCGGGGTGCGTGCTCTGTATGTTTCTAGGGAGAACCAGTGAAGGCTCCTAACTGTGATGACTTTTTCACAGTTAAAATCATCTGAGTTCTTATTTAATACCACATTTGCGTATTTTTATTTTCCTATAACTTTTATAGGGAGAGTAGGTACAAAAAAGATGCTTGGCGAAATAAGAGTACAGCACAACAGGTACAAACACCTCTGAAAAGGGGAAAATTAATGGGATGCAGCGTTTTGACACGCCGGAGCCAGGAAGTGTTCTCCCTTCTGTGCGTCCTCTGAGTCTAGTGGGGAGAGTATTTTATGTAACCCTGAGCTCTTCGTTTCTTTGTTATGCACCTCTTCCCCCCGTTTGCCTAGTCATTATTAGTAATTACATAAAAATCTGTTTCAAGCTATACCCCAGGGAATAGCAAGACTTGGTTGCTTGTCTAAGTGGTCTTTAATTAAAGTTGAAAAAAATCAGACCGTCAGGATGGGGATCCTTTTAAAATGTTGTCTGAAGCAGAAGGCTGGTTGAAGCGCAGCTGGGCCAAGCCCGTTGGTGCCCACACGGGTTGGAGTGTGACGGGGCCTTTCAAAGCGCCGCGCCCGTCTGGGATGCCGTAGGCGCGGCCCCGGCTGTAAGCAGGTGAACCGCCAGGTAAGCCTTTAAGAGCCTTCTGACTCCTGGGTTTTTCTCATTTTTTAAAACTTTCGTACTTAAACATAAGTTCCTGCTTCACTTTATCATTTAAGTGAGCTGAACAACGAAAATTATTCATAAAGGACAATATTATACTAACCACAAGCACAGAAGTGAAAAGCTTGCTGTTACAGTTAAAAAGTAAGGCCATTTCTCGTGTCTGTCCTGGCTTTCCTTGTGGCATTGCTGATGCTGTTGCCGTAGTTCTTTTTTTTTTTTTTTTTAAGATTTTATTTCTTTTTGGAGAGAGAGGAAGGGAGGGAGAAAGAGAGGGAGAGAAACATCAGTGTGTGGTTGCCTCTCCCACGCCCCTACCCAGGACCCGGCCTGCAACCCAGGCCTGTGCCTCGACTGGGAATTGAACCTGTGACCCTTTGGTTCTCAGGTTGGTGCGCCATCCGCTGAGCCACACCAGCCAGGGCTGTAGTTTTTTTTTTCTTCAGACACCTCCCTTCACTGGTCTGTATTTCTTTTCTGAGAGGCGAGGTCCTCACCCTACTTTTCTGTGCGTGCGCATTGCCTCACAGAGCCCGGCCCACAGCAGGCCCTCCGACACTCGCAGCTGCTACCCCTGCGGGAGCGAGGGGGGCTCTTCCCTGTCTGCCTCTGCAACAGTGTGGACAACAAGTAAAGTGGAGGAGATGGAAGCCGCAGACTTTCGACTATCGTATGTCCTTTGCTTAGCACTGCTCTTTACACACAGACACACACGTGCACACTTTCAGTGGGGCGCCTGTGACGGTGCCCTGACGCTGCGCCTTCCCGTGTGAGTGTCCCCGCCCTGCTTGGCTCAGCTGCGGTCCGTGCGGGGCCTTCCCGGGTGGCGCTGGACTTGGGCTGCTCGGGGCTCAGGAGCTGCTCTCAGGCCGGCTGTTGGAGAGGCGGCCAGGTGCGGCGGGTCCTCGAACAGCACGTTCGCTGGAAGCTGTTGAGACACCATGGGAGCAGAACTCCGGTTTGAGTGGATGCACCTGTGGTGGGGTTGGTTTCACCGCATGCCGTGTTGCTCCAGTCCCACAGCCTGTCGAGGAGGTTACGCGGGACCTGCTGTGCAGCGGACTCATGGAACCCTGGGGTAGGGGCTGCCTGGGGTCCTGCTGAGGCCCCAATCTGCCACCCTGCTCTCTGCCTGCCCTTCTGGGGGTGCCCGAGGCCACCACCTGACTCCTCGTGCGGCCTCAGTGTCCTCCCTGGATCCTGCCCCAGACAGACAGAAGCTGTCTGCATCCTGGTTCCAAATCCTGAGTGACAGTAATTGCACAGCTTCTTTTGGGCCCGTTTCCCATCCTTGCAGGCCCCTCCCTGCCTTGTGTGGACCAGAGGCATCCCCTGGGAGCAGGTCTGCAATGCAGAAGCTCAGGCTCCTCAGGCCACTGAATGCAGCGACAGCTCCCCAGGTGACAGAATGTACAGCGAAGTTTAGGGAGCACTGGGGTAGGCCACGGCCTCCTGCTGCCCAAGGGGCTGCAAGTGCGCCTTCCCGGGGCCAGAGCCGTGGCCTCGGCCTTCCGGTCTGGCAGGAAGCCTGGCGGAGGGCCTTGCCTCGCCAGCCTCACTCTCCGCCCTCCCTCTCTCACTGCCGCTGGGGGTCCGGAGCGATGGTGGCAGGGCCCTGTCCAGAGTGCGCACGCGGAACCAGGGCGGGGACCGGGGGTTTCTGGAGGGCTCCGAAGAAGCGAGGCAGTGTGTTCAGGATCGTGGGAGGCTTTGAGGACCAGCCGAGAAAGCCAGGCCTGACCTCTCGGCCTTCCTTGCTCAGACACCCAGCAGTCCTGCGCCCTGCACGCTCTGGGCGTGCCCCGCCTGGCGCCGTGTGTCCTTGCTCTCGTGGGCTGCTTGGCCCATGGACTCCCGTCCTCCAGCTCTGCTCCTCGCAGTGCAGAGCTTCCTGCCTCCGTTCCCCGAGAAGGGTAGCCCCTCCGCATCCCCACCTGCCTCCCGCTCCTTTGGTGCTCACTTCCCTCTTCTCCGCAGCACCGCCTGGCCTGTCCTGCCGTGTACTTCAGCGCCACATTCGGGTCCCCATCTGCGCCCAGCCCCGCCCGTATTCCTGGGCTGGGAGGACCAGGGGGGCAGGCAGGGCCCCGTTTCTCCTGCTCGCCATGCCGGTCCTAGCGGAGCGCCAGGCAGGCGCACGGCGTGGGTGGGTGCCTGCGAGGTGTCCCGAGGGCGGGGGGTGTTGGCCCCACTGCCCTCCAGGCTCCCCTCGCCGCTCACCTCCAGTGCTCCGTGTTACTGGAGAGCATCGAGCATCGCATCACTGGGTTAATGAGTTCCGATCCCAAGTTTGGCCAACCAGGCTTCCCGCGGCCTTTCCAGCAGCTTCCCTACTGCCTGCCTGCTCACCCCAGGCGCCTGCCCGCGCGCAGCCTTCCCCACGCTGACCTGGACGGCCCTCGCTTTCCTCAGGGCACCTCTGCGCTGCGGCCGGGCCAGCGGGGCTGGTCCAGGAGCTCGCTTGCTCCCCAGACCCCCCACTCGCCCCGCAGAGAGGGGAGGGTCTCCTCTCCAGGGCCCCCGCACTCTTCAGGGGAGAGTGAGGGCTGGGGGCGGGGCTTTCTCAGCAAGACGTCCGCGCATGCGCGCGGGGTCTGCAGTGCTCTGCCCGCGCACACGCGCCCTTCACACCGGGGTCTGAGCCCCCGCTGACGGACAGCTACTTTGCATCCGGCTGACCCAGGTTGGTCTTGCCTCATCTTTTCCAAGCTCGGAATCTGACTCACTGTTTATTGTCCTTTGTCTTCGCCAGTGGGAGTTTGGTTGGCTTCCCCCACCGTCCTTTGTGGGCAGATGCAAACTCAGATAGGGTTTTTTTTTCTTTTTTGGGTATCAGACCCTTGCATGCTTTGGTGAAGAGGAGCTAAACAAGCTTTCAAGCAACCAAAGAATTTATTTAAAAACTGTCAAATCAGACTGCCCGGGTAGAACAAATAACAAGATCCCAAGACCACGCGTATATTTAGTAAGCCGTGCAGTTACTGAAATTCACGGGCGCCCAGCCCCGCCCACGTCCTGGCGAGTTCTCGGTCAGGCGACCGGAGCGGCGACCCCCCCACCCGGCGCTCGCGGCCATCGAAATTCTGGTCCGTTTTAAACTTCACTTTGTTTTGTGTGCAGCCTTAGACCCTTCCTAAGGGCTGTTCCTTTACCCGTCAGTTAACCCTCACCAGCCCGTGTTTCACATGACACATTTCCTGTTTTGTAAAGAGAAAAACCGTCTCTCGGGGGCATTTGAAGAGCCACGCCGGCAGGACAGCAACGGAAAGGGAAGTCCACCCCGGGGAGACACACACGTCTGTTTTCACGCCCGTGTGCACGGACACACCGCACGCTTCACCCTGAGGAAAAAGAGAGTACACAGTTACGTGTATGCTGTTAGGAAGCAAGATTTTCAGCCCAAAAGACAGTACAGACGTCAGAGTAAAGACATTGACACCCTTGGCGTGAGGTTAGGGTTGGAAAGAGCGCGAATTTGTGAGCAGTCATCTCTGCGTCCGGAGAGGACACGGCCCCCAGCTTGTCCGCTGAGAGAGACTGAGAACAGGGAGCCTCTGCAGCATCCGCCTGTGTTGGCTGATACCGCTTCTCTCTGCAAAGAGCCCTCAGGCCCTCCGGGACGTGGCTGGCCCCAGGTGTGGCGGAGAGCGCGAAGGTGTGCACGCCAGTGCATGGCGACACTTCCAGAGACCGTGGAGCGGCGTCACAGGGACCCAGCACCTACCTTTGGTTCACTAGCCGAAGAAGACAGGACGGACAGAAACACGTCAGGGACATAAAAACCCCCGTGTTCACAGTAATGCTGAAAACGGAAGAATTGAGTCACCTGTGCAGATCGGGAAGGCACCCGTTCATCATTCTGGAAGTTGGTAGAGGGAGAGAACCAGACGTTTCCCTCCTGTCCAGTTCGGAGCGCCTTCCGGGGCAGTGAGGAGTGGACGGGGGCACTTTGTAGGAGAACCAGCCAGGCCGTGCAGAAGGAGCAGCATCGTAAGGAAGGCGCCGTTTACTTCTGCCGTCCCTGGATGAATAGCGGACTTAGGTGGCCACCTTCAGCAGTTTCACACTAGACCCCACTAGCATGAAAAGTTGATGGGGTTGCGCCAGGATGTTGTCAGGCCCCCGGCCCCAGAGCCCACCGAAGGGAGGGGCACCGGAGGGAGGAGCCCGATGCCACGCTCTACCTGGCGTTCTGCAGCGGGAAGTACAGCAGGCCCCCCGAAGTCGTCTTGCCGAAGGAAGGTCGGCGGAATCCAGCCAAGCCTCTAGGTCTAGCAGCCAGTTGAGAGGATGCGCGGAGGCTGGGGAGGTGTGGGGGACACACGGAAGGCAGCCAGCCAGTCCCCGAGGCCAGGGCGTGGACGAGCGGTGAAGACCGAGGGAGGCCATCGGCCCCGGGCTGTGCCCACGCTTCGCTGGAGCGCTGCTCGCAACAGACCAGTCGTAAAGGGACTTTTTTGAGACACTCATGGATACTTCAATGTGCACTGCCTGTCAGGTAACATGAAGGAATTACAGTTCATCTCACTAAGCAAAATAGTGGCATTCTGGTTCCTTTGGCTCAGGTGGTATCTTTTACAGATACTGGCGGATTAGCCAGTGGAATGACAGGAAGTCTGAGAAACACTCAAAAGACTCTGGGGCAGCGATTTCTGCTGGCGTGCCTTGGTCCCCGCCCGCCGAGTCGGGGACTTCCTGTCCCTTCGATCGTCGGGTGAGAAGATGACAACGGCCAGCACAACCGTAGCATCCGGAGTGAATGAATCAAAGTTACACCTTTTTTTTTTTTTTTGTCTGACAGGGAAAAAAGTATCTTTTTTGGTGTGCTGCAGGATTTCAGTAATTAGTTTTTGTGTGCCCAGGAGTGAGAAAGGTTTCGATTCGCTGCTCTGGGCGGTGCGGGGAGTGTGGGGGGAGGCGGAGCCAGGCTGACACCGTGCTGGTCATTTTTGAAGCTGGGTGTGGGGCATGTTGGCATTCACTGTACTTCTCTTCCTGGGATACGTTGGGACGTTTCCATTGAAGAAAGGGTTAAACATTTTGAAATGGGTTCTCCCGTGGATCTTAGAGTGAAAGCCCTTGGCGGGTGGGAGCTCACTGCCGACTCGGAACAGCACCCTGATCGATAGAGGAGCGTCTGTGCTGCGTAGCCATCCCCCGCCCCACCCCCAGTACTCACCTGGGGCGATTGTTGTATTTGTAGACACAGCCTGTGTTCCCACACTGCCTGGTCGGTGCAGGGCACCGCGCTCCGATGACAGGGAATCGGGGGTGGGATGGTTAGAATCCTGCTCTCCGAGTCAGCCTCTGAGTCGGCCGGAAGGCCGCCAGTACCTCTGGCAGGGATTGCCGGGAAAAGGGGACGCTTGGCGGGGGCTGTGGGGGAGGGTGGGAACGGTAGTCATGCGGCAGTGAGGGGACGGTCCAGAAGAAATGGACCACAGCAGCAGAGGAACCGCGGAGGGAAAGAGTGCGTGCCAGTTGGCCTGTAGCCGGGGAGACCCTGAATAGACTCGGTCGGAAGAAATTCACGAAGGCCGGCTTCCCCGGAGCCGTGGGGCCAGCCTGGGCACCCCCGCCAGGGCCCTGCCTCTTTTGTTTTGCCTTCCTGGTTTAGGGCCTGCTGGACACTCAGGATATGCAGCAAAGGGATTTACTCTGTGTGCGGTGGGGCCCGATCTGAATGCACAGCTGGGAGAGTGTGAGGACGATGAGAAAATATGAAAAAACTCTCTGGTGGAACACGGGTCGGCTGAATAAAAGTCAAGCTTTGCCATAAGTGCTTTACCTCTCTGTAAATGCGTTTCTGAGCCCGGCGGCCCGCGCACAGTGTCATGGGCAGGCAGGGCCCCAGATGGCAAGAGCGAGAGCCGTAGAGCGATCTTGGCGTTTCTGGGCGGGCTGCCACAGCTTCTCGAGAGCACGCGTGGCACAGACCTGTGTGGTACCCTCATTCTCCTCCGACAGGTGTTCTGCAGAGGAAGGACCACAGTCCTAGAAGTCGGTTTCCCACACCAGTGACTGCAATGTGTAATTGAAACCTAGGTCTGTTGGAATTCCATCTTCAGCAGAGTTTTAAAAAATGTTGATTGCAACACACTAATGGGGTATGAGACCAATTTAATTGATCAGAGCCAGGATCTTTAAAAAGTGGGATAGAAAACCTTTCAAGTATCACGTGAGAATTCAGCAAGAACTACAAACACTATAGTAAATACTGTGGCCAGTTGAGCAGGCATGTGGTGAATATACGCATTGACTGGACACGTCCACAGCATGTATGTTTCTCTGTGAGTTTCTACATGTATGTGTATATCAAGCTCAATCTGAGGTACACTTCTTATGTGGGACACGTTCCAAAGCACTTGGCGTTGCAGCGGGCTGTCCCAGGGAGCCGGGGTCCGGGTCTGCACGCTCACCCCCCGCGCGGCCGGCCTCTGTGCCTCTTCACCAGCAGAACCTCGCCTTGACGCCTGCAGACCTACGTCGAGTCCTGCATCGGGCCATCTGGTTTTTCCACCTGGGAGCTCGCTCTTCAGGCTTCCCTGCCCTTTGGTGTACATTCTAGGGTAGCTTGTCTGGAACTGTGCAGAACCCCGCTGGGGCCGGGATTGAAACCTGGTGAAATCCCCGGCTCACTCTGGGGTGAACCCCTGCCTTCACTGCACTCCCGAGTCTTCAGTCCGTGAACCAGGAGTGTCTTCCCTTTACTTAGAGCTCCCCTGACTTCCCTTGTTAGTGTTTTATAGTTTTCAGCATAGAGGTTCTGCACATCTTTGTTACACGTACATCTAAATATTTCAGTGTTTGAGGGGAGCTGTTATCAATGGTATTAAGAAAATTCAGTGCCTGGCTGTTCATAGCCTGTACGTGGAAATGGAGTTGACTTTCGTGTATTGGTCCTATGTCCTGTGGGCTTGCTAAACTCACTTATTCTAGGGCAGGGGACCACATCTGCCTCGTGGTCGCCTTTGGAGGGCCGGGTGTCATTTTAGGACTGTATAAATGCAACGACTCCTGAACAGCTAAGCGAGACCTCAGCGCTGCCGGGTAGAAACAAGGTGGAGGGCCGGATGAGGCCCGTGGGCCTCGTGTTTCCCACCTGTGCTCTAGGGGCCTTAAAAGTAGCGCCCCTGGGATCTCACACAGGCGCGTGCGTCCTCCGTGAGTGAGGGCGAGTTGGGTCTCTTCCTCTCCTGGCCCCTGCCTCCCGCTTCCTGCCCTGCCGCACCGCCCACGGGCCTCCTCTGACGGTGCTGTGGTGGGGTCTCTTGCCTCTTCCCTGGGCGGGAACACAGAGCACTTTTTACTGAATGGGGAATTGTTAAAACTGAGGAGAAATAAAAAATAATTACAAAAAGTAAAAGAAAACGGCCTACTCTTTTTTTAAGAAAGAATTAGTCCAACCATTAAAAGAACAAAAGGAAAATAGCTACATCTATACAGAGGCATATTTGCATGTTTCCTGTTCCGGAATTAACTTCGGAGAGTTTTTGCTCCAGCCCTTTCAGGGAGAGCGTGGCCAGCGGAACTGAATTGTCAAGCAGACCGAACCCTAGCAGCAGACTCTTCTGCCACTTGGGCAGAAAGGACCGTGGCAACACAAGCGCTCCAGCTGCCGCGTGTGTGTGTGTGTGTGTGTGTGTGTGAGAGAGAGAGAGAGAGAGCCAGCCTGGTGCTGGTGCAGGGAAAGCCTTGCTCAGGGTGTTGCCTAGCAACGTGGGGAGTCACAGCCTGCAACTCTGTTACTGCGTCCCGGCCATTTGTCTGGGAATGAGAGAGCAGATGCCGTGCCCGCCTGTGCTTTCCAGTGTCACAGCGTTGGAGTCAGGACAGTCCAGGGGCAGTGCACAAGCAGGCAGCTCCGTCCGGGAGCTCTGGGGGCTGCCCGCCTGCTTTCCTGAAAACCAAGGCTGCTGGGGAGGACAGTGTTGCTTTGTGGGGGCCCCAGTCCTGAGGTTCCAGGTGCCCCTCTGCCACATTGCTGCCTCTCCAAACCCTGGCTGCTACCCGCTCCCGGACACCGCCCAAATTGAGTTATGGAAAAGGAAAAGGGAACCCACAAAAGGGAGATGGGGTGGGGCGGGGCGCGCCACACCAAGTGCGCTCCCTGCTCTTCTTCCTCTCCTGTCCCCACTCCTGGTGACTGGGAAGCACCGGCTGGCTGTGCGGAGCTCAGGGCCCCCCTTCCGGAGGCTCGGATCCTGGCCCGGGGACGCCTTGGAGATACACTGCCCTTGGCTCCTCACCGTCCTTAGAAAGGAGGTGGGTGGGTGGGGACAGTGACCGACGCGCGTGCCCACAGAGCTCTGGGGTCTGTGACCCCCCGGGGTGCCCGCGGTGTTCCCAGGCAGGGGACCCCGCGCTCGTGGAGCTGAGGCGGGCTGTGTGACCCTGCCCCCCCCCCCCCCCGCCCCGTGCTCACGCTCTGGGCCCCGACACAGGGACTGGCAGCTTCAGCGCCCCTCTGTTCCGTGGCTCCGTGGAGGTTTGGTGGGAGGTTAGGCCGAAGCTGGAAACATGCACACGGGCACTGTGAGGGCGGGCGGCGGGCGCTGGCCGCAGGCTGTGCTCCGTTCGCGGTCAGCTTGCTCGGCCGCCTCCAGAGACGGTGATTCTGCAGCGCTTGGGCTTTATGAAAATACGGCTGATCCTGGAAATCCTGGCTAGAAGTAGGTGACCGCCAGACATCTCTGGGCACTGTCAGCCCCTGTGACAAGCCCTGTCTCCTCGGTGTGGCCGTTATGACCCACACCGCGGGCAGGGCTGTTACTGGGGGAGCCCGGCAAAGCGCAGCAGGCGAGTAGCCATCCATGCTCTCACGGGGTTTGTGTCCTTCCGTGCGCCTTCCGTGGTGGACGGGACCTTCGGCCTGGTACTGGGGTGAGCCCGCAGTCCGTGCCTGCGACTGTTACTGGCCCCTCCGGGGACCCTCCCTGTATGCAGAGGTGGTAAGATCAGTATCAGAGGCTGGGGGGACGGTCACACCAGCCACTCCTCAGACTGTACGTCGCTGTCTGCGTGGGGACGGCTTTAAGGGAATTAAACTACAACCAGGGAGAAATCTGAACTTGAAGGCCAGGTGGACCCGATTCTAAGTCTTGCAGGTGCTCAAGTGCAAGGGACCCAGGTGCTTATTCAGCTCTGTGATTTGGGGCAAGAGTGAGTGAACCCCGGTTTTATCTAAACGGAGAAAAATAATGCGAACATTGCCGTATCTGGCCGTGTGGAGGGCACACCCACATTCTGAGTGCACTATACACGGGATTGTTGTGCCGCTATCATCCCCATGGCGTGTAATCATTACACCTGTGTATAATGTGCATCTGTAGTTTTCCCTCAAAAATTTGGGCGAAAACGTGCACGTTATACACGGCAAAATACAGCGCATCCCGCAGGGTTGCCGTGAGCATTCACGATAGCGCACGTGAAGTCCGTCAGGCAGTGCCTCTGCGCGGCCTCGGTGCTGCTGCTGCTTGCCGGGCCTCAGCGTTCACGTGCTAGTTAAAGTAGTTTCCACACCGGTGAGGCTGAGGCAACTGTGAGGTTTTTTTTTAAGTTTCTTGGTGGGAGGGACAGTGCCTTCCTCAGCTTTTTATTTCCCCATAGAACTTGACACAGAATTTTTCAGTAAGTGCATTGAGTTGAATTTTTGGAGCCAAATAATATTTATGTTAGTCCAAGTACTGGATACCGTTGCACTAGAATGACTTTTAACACAAGTGAGTAGTAACCTTAAATAAACCAAAAAGCTACTTATTTATAGTTTGAAAAATTACTGATTTGGACTTTTCCACTTAAAGTCGACTGTGTCACCCCTCAGCGACACCTCGCTGAGAGTGGCCAGCTCTGTGAAGACGTCTGTCACCCTCCGTTCCCACCGAGGAGCTGTGATCACCAGGGCTGCCCAGTCAGCATAAAGCGCGCTGTGGTTTCTGTTACGCAGTTGTCACCGTAGCTGGGGTTGGGCGGGTATGGAAACCTTTGTGAACCCAAAATTCTTTTACGATGATGGAATATTTCATGTTTCATATTCTTGGTACGGAGTATGTGTTCAAATATTTTACCAGGTATGTGTTTTTTACAGGTTCATATAATATATAAAATGCATTTCTGTTCCAAGAAAAATACAAGTGGTAAACAGTTGGGAGAGAGCTTGCATATTTTCCTTTATGATCCTGTCTGATGATTAATGCATTCAGCTGTGTTCAGCCTCACGTGTAACCAGGTTAGTGTTTAGTTTGGGTTAGGCTGTTTTGCTTATGAGGACAGAAGCGGCCAATCCCGTGCTCGGCCTGTCTTCCAGATGGAGTCTTTGCATTGTTTCCAGATCACGGTGCTTAATGCAAGGTCAGATTTTCTTGTGAAAACAGATTTTGGATTAACTCTGTCTGTGCTCTTGTGCACACCCTTCACACCTGCCCGTGCACTTACGCTCCAGCAACCTGCAGAGGCCACGGTTCTCGTTTCGAGATGCCACGGAGCGGGCTGAAGCCCTCCCGAGAAGCCCGGGGGCACAGACCCAAACTGAGTGCGTGGGTACGTGCGCCCCCTTCTCACGGGGACCGTGAGGGGCCGCGGGGAGAGCAGGTGTAGTCTCAGACGAGGCCCCGGGCAGCCGAGTCTCTGGTCCTCATCATCCCGCTCTGCCCGACTGTGGCGAGGACTTCGTGCGGGGCTGGCACACTGCTGACTGGGGGCCGGACGTTGGAAGTAAAGTTTCATTAAGAGACGGTCACAGCTATTCCTTTACAGTCGCCGGTGGCCGCTCACCCAATTCACCAGCACAGTCAGGCGGCTGTGACAGACACGACTGCGTGGCCGGCAAAGCCTACAGTATTTATCTTCTGCACGTTTCTAGAAAAAGATGCGCCGACCCCTGATATAATAATGCTTTAAAGAAAAGCCATACACAAACAGTGGTTGGGTCTCAGCTCTGCCACTCGGTGACTGTCGGACCACGATCCTCTCTGTGCCTTAATTCCTGCGGCACGAGGCCTCGATCCACTCGGTCCGTGAAGAGTGTGTGCTGGCCCGTGTCGAGCGCTGTTCTAGGCTCAGGAAGTCAGCGGTGAACAGAGCGGACGCGCACGCCTGCCCTGGTGGGACCCACGTTCCGACGCAGTGTCTTCGGGGAGGGGAGTGACGGCGCGTCCTTCCCAGGGAGGCCGCGGTGGGCCCATGCGGGTGCGAGCCGTCAGGACGCTTCTGGGCTCAGGCAGTCGGGAGTCGACCACGTGCCCAGTGGCGCCAGTGGCTGCCGTTACTCTGCCAAGTGCAGGGCTCGTCCTGTGTCAGTGAGTAGACCCTCAGTTCAGGGTGGCGCCCTGTGCACTGTCCCCGAGCTGTTTGTGATGGATACAGCGAGGGACCAAAGTCACAGGAGCACGCCTGGCGCCTTTGCCTCCTCCAGAGAAGAGCCCACACTGCTCTGTGTGGGCCCCACCGTGGGGACAGTGGTGTCCCCGGGCCCCGCCCGGAGCAGGGTGAGGTTCACGACCGTGCCCGGTGCAGAGGGCGGTTCAGACGGAGGAGAGGACAGAAAGGAAAGGTCGGGTGCCTCGGGTCCCATAGCATTAACGGGCAGAACTCGGAGTGAGCTCTTGGAGTTTTATGCTCCTTCCATGTTTTAAACCCTCATTCGACATTAGGCCGCTTGGACTTGGAGATTCTTTGCACCCGCGTAGGAGCAGGGAGAAACAGGACTCGGGACGTAAGGGACAGTGTAGGTTGATAATGGTCCTTGAGGTGGGGTTGTGTTTGAAGACGAGAGATCAGTATGTGAGAGTGCGAAACGGATACCGGCCTCTTTGTATGCATTGCACGTCGGCAGCCTGGTTACGCTGGTGGTTGTGCACGTGGTCCCAGGGGCCCGCGTGGTACATGTTGTCCTCGGATGCGTGGGCCGGGTGGGCAGAGCGCATTGTTGGGCACGGCGAGGCGCAGCATGAGTGCGCGGCGTCGGGGGCCTGGGCACCCCTGATCGTGTGGCTTGGGCGGGACAGTTTTGCTGATTTTGTCACTTGTGAAATGAGGAGGTTGCGCCACGTTTTTCCAGGTCCTCTCAGCTCTAATCATGTGACTCGTCAGTTCTGTCTCCTGCTAGACGCTGCCCTTCCCCCTTCCCACCCTGAGCTGACCCCTTAGGTCTCCGTGTCTCTCAGTGCAGGGTACACCGTAGTGGGGCAGCAGGGCCCTGCCCTTCGCGAGGAGTTACCCATTTTCTCTCCTTCACCAGTTTCCCCCTGTCGCCCTGCTCTGTGGGCAGGGCTGTAGTTCTCATGGACCGCCGGTGCTTTCCAGTTCGGACACCCCGGCATTCCAGAGTGGCGGTCAGAACACTGAAGAGGGGCCGGAGGGAAGGGGGCTGTGGCTGGGCGGCTGGCTGGGCGGCTGGCTGGCTGGGCGGCGTTGAGGCGGCGTTTCCCGAGGCGAGCCTTGCTGTGTGTGCGCGTCCTGGCGGCGACTGCAGCTCCCCGGGGATGTCGCTGTCGTCTCCTAGGGCGCTCGCTCAGTGCCCGCTTCCTACGAAGCCCACCGCCGGGCAGGCGGCCGCGGGGGACAGTCACACCTGGAAGCCTACGTGACGTGACGTGACCACGCCAGGGTTGCGGCTCGCCGCCACAGACGGGGAGACGGCGGCTCGAAAGCTGAGGTGTATGACCCGGCGGAGATGAAAGGAAATCCATGTATATTTTTTAAAAGTAGAAAGGAAAGATCATTTGTATTTTATATGAAAACGTGCCATTCTTTTGGAACTTCCATGTTAAGGATATGTAGTTATTAGCCATATGTTGGTGAAAAGTCACACCAGCTGATGAAGAAGTAGGAAAATACACCTCAGTGATTCCACCCATCAGGAGCACTGCCTTTAAAAATATTAGGTTGATATCTATGACGTCTAGTATCTTGAATGTCTGTAGCATTCCAAACTCGTGACAGCCCAGCAGAAACGGCTTTCACAGACAGAAGGGCAGACCCCGGAACTGGGGGCTGTTCGTCGCTGGCCTGCATTGCGCTGTTTTGAAGACAGCACAGCGAGAGGGAGGCCCCCTCGCTGCCCCCGGAGAGTGCGGCGGGGTGGGGACGGGGGGGGCACTGATGTGCGTGGTGGTTAGAAGCTCTGCTCAGACGCCAAGGTCCAAGCCCCGGCCCCGCTGTGGGCTGGGAGTGACTCTGCGTGGGCCTGTTCGCCCCCAGAAGTAGGGCAGCAGAAGTCCCACCTCTGAGGCTTCATGGTAGGATTAAGCCGGATGGTTCTCGGACGGGGAGCAGCACTGGGTAAAGCCTTGGTAAACATTAACTGGTTATCTTTGTTTGCACAAGTGCATTCTGGCCCGTCTTCTGAGTCCCAGACCCAGGTTGTCTGCTGCTTTCCTTATCTCCTGATGGCAGTCCTCTGGCATCTTGAAAACAAAGTGTTGGGAATGGCAGGCGCTTCAGGTTCTGGACGGGTGTACTCTCCGTCAGTGCTGCCCCTTCTGCGGGCTGCGTCCGGCCGCAGACCCTGGACGTCGCAGTGACACCAGCCTGACGAGGCTCTGAGAGGTGGAGGGCAGAGCAGCCTGCCCAGGGACCTGGGGGGTTGAGCCTCAGCCCCAGATGGGCTCGTGGGTTTTCTTTGTGACCCGCCCTGCATATCTCAGGCTGGGTGTTATAGGAGCTGTCCATCCAGAACCACCGATGGGTGTGGCCAAAAAAAAAAAAAAGAAAGAAAGAAAAACAAACGAGCAGACCAGCAGAAGCTTGTCAAAGGGCTGAGAAAGAGGCATCTCGGCAAGGCAGACTTTTAGACAGCAACCACCCTCTTCCAGACAAACACCAGGGAAAGTGCAGCCCCACCCTCATCGGCAAAGGCCAGTGGGGAGCCTAGACTTGAACCTTCACCTGAATATAATGAGGTTGCCCTCACCGGGCTGGGCGGTGTCACAGGAGACTGGGTGGGGAGCCAGGACTCTCCTTCCCACTCACGAGTAACAAGGCCCCCTCCCTCCCCTGCACAGCTGTTAGTGGAAGTCATGAAACTGGGGTTCGACTTCCCACCCAGCAGTAAGGAGGCCCGTTGCCCTCACCCCTCGGGTGTCAAAGGAGGCAGAGTGGAGGACCTGGTCCTTCACCCCCACGTGGCAGTAACAAGACACTGCTCCCCCCGTCCCTACCCCCACCCTGGCGTGGTGTTGGAGAGCCAGCTAAGCTAAGGTCCGTAGTCCCCTAGGGTTATACCCCCAGATGTCTGGAGTACAGTTAGAACTCGCACGTTATACCAACACCAGGGAAGGCTCAAGCTGAATGATCAAAGGCGCTCAGCAGGTGCCAGAAGCCGGGCGGCACAGGTGTCAGAATTACCTGTGCGGGTTTCAAAGCAACTCGGAGATGTGCTTGTAGGAGACCGATCTGTGTGGCGTGGGCCCAGCTCCCACTCGGAGATGCATGGGACCCACGCCCACGGATAGGTTCTCCTGTGGGGAATCAGGCCTGCAATGTGCCCAGGCCGCTCTGAGTCTTGCTCTTGCTGAAAAACTCCCTCACCCTGAATTGAGGACATTTACAGCAAAGCAACTTCCTAAAATCCATGCTAAACCTTCCAAGGATGAGTGTAACCAGTTCAACCACTTTTGCCTTTTCATTTGCAAATATCCCTCTTCTGTGATGTGATTAGCAGCATTGGCTCCTTTGTTTTCTGTAAAAGGTAACCCCTTAAAGTGGACCTGTGCATAGTAAATGAGGACCATCATGTAATGGGCCGAGAAACCCAATAAAGGCCGGTCATGGCAAGGGCCAAGGCTTTTGCTCCCCTTGAGAGCAAAGCCATGCTGTCCCTTTTCCTCCACCGGACTCGGTAGTCCGTGTGAATGTCTCAGTTCATCCATAATGACGTGGACACTGCGGGCCGGTGTCTGCATCCGCGCTCCCGTGAGCGACTGAGAGCACTTGAAGCAATGACAGAGGACATCTCATCAAAGAAATAGAGGCTATAAAGGAAAGCCAGATGGGAACTTTAGGGCTGAAAAATGCAGCAGCCCAAATTAAAGTGTAACAACTCAGTCGGCGGGCTCCACAGCACAGTGGAGAGGAGGAGGAGGAGGAGGAGAGAGTCGGTGGGCTGGGGGTGGAATAAGCACTACCCGTTCTGGACGACAGAAAGCAAGCAGACTGGGAAGGACGGGCGGGGCCTCGGGGACATGCAGGACTCTGACGAGCGGCCCGCCGCTGCCAGCGGAGTCCCAGGGGGAGAGGAGGGGTGGCCGGAAGAGGGTGCAGAGAAGCAGTGTCCCAGCTCTGGCGAGAAGCGGACCGACAGACTCAGGAGGGTCCCGGCCGGGTTCGCGTGTCCTTGGTTTGGCGTGGGGACTGTGAGTGACCCACCTCCTTGGCCCCGTTCCCCCACCCATCACGCCTTTTCTTCCTGGTGACTCGGACCCACGTGCCTTGCCTTAGGCCAGGTTACGTCGACCTGAGCTTTCAGTAAAAGCAGGATGAGAGAGTGTCTCCTTGCTACATATGCTGCTTTCCTAAAGCAGCGCTTGCCTGGGTGTACACCCAGTAGAGATGAGCGCGTATGTCCACCAGACGGCACGCAGGTGGGTGGCGGCGGCAGCCGTGCACACGCTAGCCCCGAACCGGAGGCAGCCGGACATCTTCCCGCCGATAAAATGGATGCGTTCGAGCACTGGGACCGTGCATGGCAGTGCAAGGGACGGGCGGGCTGCCGTGGTCGGCTGCAGCGTGTGCGCGCAGCGCGGGGAGCTGGGCACAGCAGAGGGTGCACCGTGGGACTCCGGTCACCCCAGCTTCCAGGAGAGGCAGCAGTGATGGAAGATGATGGCGGCCAGGGTGCTGGTTACCGGGGGGGGGTGGCCAGCTGACGGGGGGCCTAGTGGACCCTCTGGTGCGGGGATGTTCTCTGTCTCGGTCACGTGCACGCATGTGAAGTTCTCCAAGCCAGGGGTCCCCAGCCTCCGGGCCTCCGCCCGGTACGGGGCAGAGCCTGTGAGGAGCCGGGCCACGCAGCAGGAGAGGCGAGCTTGAGTGTGGTGTGCGCGAGTCATCTCACAACGGCCCCGCTCCCCCGTCCCGTCCCCAGCCCGTGGACCAGCTGTCTTCTGCGACACTGGCGCCTGGTGCCCGGAAGGTTGGGCTGCGCCGCTCGAAGCTGTGCCCTTCAGATCTGCACGCCTTACCACAGCGAGCTCCATGTTTAAGTAGAACGTGTGTGCGCTCTGAGTCACACGTCTCGACAGAAGGCCTCGCTGTTGCCCGCGGGGTGAGGTCCACGCTCGGGAGTGGGATGTGCCACGATGGTGAATTTTTGTGAAGCGAGCCAACAGTCGTAGGTTAAAAGGTGCTCGGGCCTTAGCGGGCAGAGCAGCTGTGGAGAAAGGATGCGGAAGGGACCCCGCGGCGCTCCCGGCGCGACTGTGGAGGGCGCTGGACACGCGGCCTGGGTCCTCTCCTGGGAAGAGTGTGGCGCTAGAGGCCGCCCTGGGTCTGCGGAGGTTCGTGACACAACGTCCTCCTTGTTCTGACCGCTTCAGGGCCGGGGCCCTCCCCGTCACCACCCAGGGCACAGTGCCTGTCTCATCGGCCCCTGCGCCTCCCCTTCTCCAGTCTGCGCCCCCTCAACTGTGCACTGTGAGGTGTTGCAGCACACTGAACATTGTGTCGGCCATCACGTCTCCTCTGAAGACCAGAAACCTTCAACCTACAGACCTACAGACGCCTGCCTGAGCCTGTACGGCGCGCTTTCTAACCCCACAGGCCTGGGCGACCCCTCACGCGTCTCTCAGACAAGCCGACGCACCCTCGTGGACCCCACGTTCTTCCTCTGGAAGACGAGAACATCACTCCCGCCTCGAGAGGCAGGCACGAGCACCCGGTCTGTGCCTGTGGGACAGTTTGGCAAGTGAGGGGCTGCGTAATCGGTGAGCTTCCCCCCTTCCTCCTCCTCCCCTTCTCCAGCAGAGGGGGCGTCTCTCACCGGAGGAGGTGTGTTTCCGAAGCGTGTCGTCCTCCCTCTCACATTCCACCCCGGTGATCTGCACCGGGAAGGTGGCAGTGGGCCATCCACAGGACGCTCTCCAGAGGCTGCCACAGGCCGTGGGCCCGGGGCAGAGGGACAGGCTCTTGGGCCCGCCTCTCCCTCCCCCCCAGGCTCGCCTGTGGCCCTCAGGGCAGGGCCCAAGTGCAGGCCGGGCCCCTCCTCCCCGAGCCGTCCTCACGTGCTCGCAGCGTGCCTTCCGGGCCATGCGCGGTGGGGTTCCAGAGCCGGCCGTGCACTCCGCTCAGCAAGCCTTTCCTGGACACCGTGGGCTCAGAGGTGGGGTCTCCCCGGCTACGCTTGCCAGCGGCTTGGAGCTCATCGCGATACAGCGGGCGGCTGAGGTTCCGTCCACGGGTTAAAAATTAACGACTGGATGCGTTCCGGACAGGACTCTGTTTGTTCAGCCATTGAGGTGTGACATGGTGGGTGATGCATTATGGGTAGGAGTTACACCCCAAGTAGCAGAGGTGGAATGCATATTTTTAAAAACTTGCTATATGGGTTATTTCTGTCTACATGCAGCCCTGCGTGTTAGCGCAGATGTGCCAGAACAGCTCTCCCGAGCTGCTTTGTTTTCTCGGCGCGGACACGGTGTTCTGGGCCCTCTCTGGGATTCCTGCGCGCTCAAGTCAGATCTTGCGGCACTCCAGGGCGGGTGCGAGTCGTGTGCACTCGAGTGCATTAGAGACGGGCGCACTCTCTGCTCCGTGCTTTCCTCGCTTCTGCCTGCACACAGAGGTCTTTCATCTAGCTCTTCAAATGCTTCACGGCCAGCTTTCGACGTTTGCTTGATTAAACTATCTTAAAGAAATGACAGTAATGGAAAAATAAGTCTGTGCTTCTACTTTTTTCTTGTGGTTCAGTGAGTTTAAAGTTCTTTACAAAGAATGCAACAAAAATGTCCTAAGTAGAAGGATAAACAAACAGGCGGCGTTACTGCCTACCATTTTACCGAGCACTTTCCCGGGGCCAGGTCTGCGCGGGACGGTCCCTCCTCACCACCTGCTGGAGGGCCCTCTCCCGTGCCCGAGAGCTCACTGCTCGGCCGAGGTCACGGGCCGGAGGGGCAGCGCTCCAGCCCCGCTCCAGCCTTCCCGCTGCCGTGACGTGTTCTGCGGCAGCCAAGGGCCCGGGAGTGCAGGACGGGCGCCTTGTCCTGTGGGAGGGTGTGCCGGCACCTCGGAGCCTCACGCCAACTCCAGAGACAGTTCCTGTCCCAGCTCCTTCACGGACAGCGCCTCTGGGACACCCGGCCCTCGGGCCTGGGTGGTGCGGGGGCGGTGTGGAGGCAGGTGCACCCACCTGTGGCTGAGTGGTGGCTGCTCAGCCTCTGTTTAAACGGAGATCGTATCTGCCGGGTGACGAGCGCGGGAGAAAGTGGCACTGAGGTCGGACGCAGGTGCTCGCTGTGGAAGTGCCCGTTCACCTTCCTGGAACGCAGTGGCTGCACTTGAACGTGTCCCCCCATCCCGTTGTCCCTGGGCTCGGGGCGCCCGGGCCGTCTCAGTCCTGCTGTCCTGGGAAAGCCTCTGTGTTTTCCCTGCGCACTTCCGGAACCCGGCGATGTCGGCCTGGCACTGACAGTGGAGCTGGGGGCACTGTTCTCGCTGGATTCCCTGCCGAGCACACCTGCCGTCACAGCCGCCGCGGGCTTGTTCATCTCCCACACGCTCGTCTCTCCCCAGGCGCACGGCCTTGCAGCGTCCGGTCTGTGCTGGGCCCTCGCTGTGTCCCCGCAGTAACTGCGGCCCTTTGTGGACGGTGACACGAGGCCAGTCTGTTGTCTGTGGGAACCTGGACGCACGCTTGCCCCACCGTCGGCCGCCTTTCCTGCCGCCGCGTGGGCTCACCTGTTCGAAGGGCCGTTGGCTCTTCCCTACTCTGGTTTCAGAACCCGCTCCGGGAGCGACTCCGTGGCGTGTTCTAGCGGGTCGGCCGAGGGTTACTATTCAAGGCCTGTATCTCCCAAACCTTAACTAGCAGAAAAACTTAGGCAGGTGGAAAAATGCTTAACCTCTCTGCTAATAATAGAAGACAAAACAGTAAGCCCCCAAACTATGTATTTTATTTATTGAAAAGTAACTTTCTGGGAAGTTGTGCACCAGTCAGTGGGATGGCAGTTCCGAGGGCGGCGTGTGCTGCGAGAACCTTTTCGGGGCTGTTGGTGGTGTGCGCCCGAGTTTGCGTCATTCTGCCCGTTCACTCTTCTTTGGGGAGTTTCTCCACAGTGAACCAGCGGGGTGATGCGAACGCCGTTCGCGTGGGTGTTCATTGCATTGCTGGCTGAAAGGTAGAAATCATCAAACATCCTACAAAGGGGGAGGGTAAACAGATGTGGGTGGGTGGGATGGAATCCTGTGTACCATTTTAAAAACTCACATTTTCAGAGTTTGTATTATCTATAAAATGGGGCCCATATGCAAATAATTCCACTTAAAAATCCATGTATTTGCATAAACTGTGTGGTTTGGAGAAACAGAGACTAGAGATACACGTGGCTGTACTGGACCCTGTTTCAGAGAGAGGGGCCGGACCCCAAAGAGGGGGGCCGGACCCTAGAGCACCGGCCTGGGCGGGGGAGGTTTCGGGCGGTGTCCCCTAGCTGGAACGACCTTGAGTTCCCATGACTCCAAAGCGGACCTTCCTCTGGTCCTTCCTGCTGCCCGTCCCCTTTTCCCTCCAGTGGAGAGGGGCAGAGGCTTGGGGAACAGGGGGTCCCCAGGCATCTCTCTCCCACTTCTGGTCCCCAGGACTGGGCCTTTTCACTGTGGGCCCGCAGTAGACCTGCTTCATGGGACACTGCCCATCAGTCTTGAAGTCAAACGTGTCATCATCAGAGTCGCCTTTGCTCTTCTTGTGGCCCAGAGTGGGACAGACTGAGTCGGTTGGAACTAAAATATTTTCATTCAGCTGAGCGGGGCACGGCTGGAAGTGTGTCTGTGTTATTGCTCTGTGATTTTAGCAGAGCGAGATGAGAAACTTGCATATGGCACAGCGCGCAATATCACTTGGTTTAGAAGTAAGCGTCTGAAAGAAGTTCCGCTGAAAAACTACTCGAGGACAAGTAGTCCGAATATCACTGTAACTGTGTGTGCTTGCTTATGTATATACATGTGTACATACATACACGTATGTGTGCATGCACGTGTATCCCTCACCTGAAGGTGTGCTTACTGATGAGAGAAAAGGCAGGGGGGACATTGATTGCCTCTCCTACGCACCCTGACTGGGCATCGAACCTGCAACCTTTTGGTATATGGGCTGATGCTCCAACCCACTGAGCCACCCAGCCAGCACAATCACTGTAACTTTTAAAGAGAATCTTGTCACTGGGCATTTTCGGTTATCAGTTGTCTCCTTTCAGGAGAGAAAAATCCGTGTTTCCATATTGGCGAGTCCATTGGGAATGAGTGCTTGCAGTTGTCTGCAGTGTCTCGTGCTGGCCCGTCCAGACTTTGCAGGGAACAGTACTTGGTGGTGAGGTCAAGGTTACAGAAAGTTACAGAGGGAGCCCGAGGGTTTCCCTCCCGGGACTTCTACGTGGTCCAGGGCCCTGGGACTGGGTCCTGAGCCCACTGCCGTCCCCACCCCCCATCTCGCACCCCGAGGGAGCTCCACTTCTGGCCAGAAAGACCACCTGTGTGCAGGTGACTTGTAGAGTCCCTCTGGCGCCCAGAGCTGTCCCCTGGACTTCACACCGTGGGACACACAGCTGCTGGCGTCCACCTGGATGTCTCCATGCATGTCACTCCAGCCTTCTTCTGGGTCTCGGTAGGTGACGCCACCTCGCCCAGCTCAACTGAGTCTTGGGGCCTTCTGGTTCTCTTCCCACCACCATTCTAGAAAGCATTTCCTGTCAGACGCACCTTCAAACCGCATCTCACGTCGTCCTGGTTCTTTCTGTCCCCACGGCCAGCAGCACGGCCTGGCCCACGTCACTGTGAGGTTCGGTGACCGTGGTGCGTCCTCCTCCGGTGTCTCCTCGCAGGTCTGGCCATCGCCGCGCCCCCTCCTTCCAGCTGCTCTCTGCTTGGCGGTCGGGGCGTCTTCTTGAAAGTCCCACCTGAGCTATGTCACTCACCAGCATGCAATCTTCAGTGGCTCATTTTGTACTTGGGGAAAAAATCATCTAAGTTGTTTTCCTGACCTTCCGGGCAGTCCTCGCCCCTGCTGGACCACCCCATGCGTCATGAGTGGGGGCCTAGGCCTCGCTGCCTTGAGAGCCCCCCCACCCCCCCACCACCACCCAGGGGCTCAGGTTCACAGTGAGGACTGAGAGCTGCCGCCCTGCGCCGTGACTCTTAGAGCTCAGCGTCCTCATCTCATCAGAAAGGCACGTCCCAGCCCCACCCTCCAGGCCTGGGCCCCCACTTCTGATCCCACAGCACTCACTTGTCTGAAGAGCAGCCCCCCTCCCCCAGCCCCGTGGGTGAGACTGCGGGGGCCTGCCCGCCCCCCAGGAGCCGCTTCCACTGCCTCTGACCCAGGCACGCCCACGGTGGCTTCCTGGCCCTGAGGCAAAGCTTCCGCCCTTGAGTCTTAACACTCTGGCTCCCTTCACCTTAAAGGCGTGTGTCTCCCTCCCGGGCTTTGCATCCGCCCCGTGTGCTCAGCTCAGGTCTCAGTTCCGGTGTCACCCGCCCACCGTGTCCGCTGCAGAGCCACTCTCCAGCGGGCCGGCCTGCGCTTTCCTTTCTCGGCGGCGTTGTCACAGTCTGTACCGGTGTGTGTGTGCGCGTCCACTCCCTCTCGCTCACGCACTCTCGTGTGCCCCCTGCTCCCCTCCCCCAGGTTTCCTGAGCGCAGGAACATTGCTCACCTGCACGGGGGCGTGTGTAGGTGGGACTGGTCTCAGAGCCGTTGGCCGCCTCCACACACATGGACGGGTTTTTTGCCAGTAGTTACCGACCTCTGAGGGCAAGGCTGGGGCGCAGGAAGGAGGGGAACGTGCCTCACGCGGCTGAAAACCCCGGAGTCTAAAGAACAAGCCCGACAAGCCAGTAGCTGCTCGACACGCTGCGGACTTCCTGCGGCCGGACCCGCCGACCTGACCGTCCCCACCTGGGAGGAGGGGCCCGTGCGGGGCCTGGGAAGGCAGGGGTACGGGGTGAGCACAGCGGGCTCCCCACAGAAAGGGAGCAGCGGGCCTCCTGCCTCCCCGCCTTCCGCCTGGTTTCTCTTGTCGGGGCGCGTCGGGCGGGGGGAGAGGCCGGGGTCAGCAGCCCCGCTCTGCCTCCGCCAGCCCCGCCTCTTCCCTCCTCCCGGACCCTGGGGCGGGCGCGGGTGGGGTGGGGGGGAGGCGGTGCCCTCAGGGGACTCCTAAGTGGGTCAGATGAGTACCTGGATCAAACTCACCCCC